TTAGTAAAATCTAGATTCGGAATGACTCCTTCTTTTACCAATCTCTTAACTCTTTCATAGGAAATGTGTCCTAATCTTTTATGCCACAAGAAATATGAGTCATCAGTACATGTTTTACGTTTAAGTCGACTTTCAGTGTGCAACGTGAGATGTGTTTTAAAAGGTTGATCAGCCAATTTTAACATATAAAGACCATCAACTAATATTCCAGAACCTATACGATTAGAGTTCAGAAATAAATTAAAACAACCATCTCCTTGAGTAGACTTAAAGCCAGCCAAATCAAGTTTGCTTACAGAAACTAGATTACGGGAAATAGATGGAACATACAGAGTTTGAAATAAATCCAAACAAAATCCACTATCCAAAATGAGACGATAAGTGCCAACAGCTTTAACAGGTGCTTTGTCTCGATTTCCCATCAGTAAGTAGTTTTCACTTGAATTTATGGTCTGGATCATAAGGAATCCCTGCACAGAATTCGTAACATGTACATTAGCACCGGTATCAATCCACCAAGTTTTAGAAGAAACTTTAGCAAGATTTGATTTAAAAAAGCTTACGGAACCCATAGGATTACCTTTATTTTCAAACCATTCTCTTCTTTTAGTGCAATCTTTCTGAAAGTGGCCAACCTTTTTACAAAAGTGGCATCTTTCATTGCTTTCTTCTTCTCAGTAGCTTGATCTGAATCATTCATTTTGGGTGGTGCTCTTTTATGGCTCTTGTTATGCCTTTTCCCAACTTTAGTTCCAGCTCCTTGGACATAATGGGCTACCTTAATTCCTTCCCGACCAAGCCTAGACTCCTCTTGGACCAACTTAGTAGTCAATTCATTAGACGTCCACCTTTCATCAATTGCATTATAATTGATTTGGAATGGTCCATACTGAGGAGGCAGTGAATTTAGGATGGACGAGAAATGAATCGTCCACACTCATTCCTAAATTCTTTAGCTTAGCCGCAAGGTTGGTCATTTTTATGCAATGTTCATGCATAGACCTTGTCCCATCATACTTTATGGTTATAAGATCTGCCATAAGTTTCCCTGCAAGGGATTTATCTGCAGTCTTAAACCGTTCTTCTATGGCTGCCAGATAAGCTTTCGCTTTATCTGCATCCGGAAGGGAAGTTTTGATGTTACTAGCTATTGTCATCCTTAAGAACATGATGCTCAATCTGTTCGATTTCTCCCAAGCTTTATGGAGAATCTTTTCTTCCTCGGTACTATTTTCAGTTAGCGGATTTGGCATTTCTTCCCAAAGCGCCAAATCCAAGTCTAGTACACCTAATGTGAACTCAACTTTCTCTTTCCATTCTGAGAAGTTGGTTCTGGTGAGGATCGGAACAGCTGAGACCATAGATGACAAACTAGCAGGAAAAGATGCTGCAATTTATGAGATACAACAAGCTCTAATTAGGCTCTACTAACAACACAATTATTACAATTATTAAATGCATATGACAAGAAATTATGGCACTCCTGTGGGCAGTCACCATAGTTTCGTTTAAAATCATAGCATTGGTGAATCATTATTGAGTACTAGGTGAATACCCGCACATAACGTGCAGATTTTTCTTTTTAATTATTTTCAAATCTTATATTAAAAAATATAATTATTTTTTGTTATGTGTGTTAGTATATTATTATAAACAATTTTAAAAATTTTATATATACAAAAAACAATTTTAAAAATTAGTTTAAAATGCAATATCATAAATATAAAAAGAAATATAATCATTATTTGAGATGTATATTAGCATGTTATTATAAATAATTTTAAAAATTTTATCCAAAAGAATTAAAAATCAATTAAAAATATAATATTATAAAAAGTTAAGAATTATATAAAATTACACTAAATATCAATTAATATCAATCAATTAATGAAAAAACTGTTCATATTCTTTGAGTGTTTTAAAACTTGATATTAATTTAAAAAAAAAAAATTATAACTTTAAATTATAAAAGTGACACATGTCATCTCCATATCAATATAAAATGATGATGTGTCACTCATATGGAGAGAGTTGGTCATCTTTTATATATAAGATTATACTAAACCAATTACACTAAGTTATTTGTGGATATACTTAGTACACATGTACATAATACTCCATTACTTATTGATCATGTTTATGTTAATAGTCTACCTGTGGGTAGCTAAATTTACATAAACATATCAATCTTACATAAACATGGTTTTCATTTGCAATCATTATAGGATAAAGTCACTGTGGTGATATCAATATCCTGATTTTTGCATATTATATGAAAAATCAATCTTCTGTGACGAATTATGCATTATTTGTTTATTAAAATTCTTACAAATTATTTCTATACAGATTATGCATAGAATTAATTTACATAATTTACATAATTTATGCATGTATTGTTCTTATACGAGTAATGCATAGAACATTAATTTCAAGTTTATATACTGATCTTTTCTACACACATTATGAGTAGGACGATCTAGTACGAATTATGCATAAAATATTTTAAATCTCTTTAATTTTGCACAGAAGAACAAATCAGTATTCATACACATAATGGATGATACTTGATTTATATAAAGGAATTTGCGAAAATCCTTTATACGCAAACTCACAAACTCACACAGAATAGGATCTATATTATTTTTTAAGTGATAAACATACCATCATGTTCGAAATAAAAATTAAACACAGATTCAGATCTACAAACATCTTAATTTGTAGATTCAATTTTCAGTTATTCAAATCATTAGATCTATTATTCTTAAAGGATTAAACAGATGTTCATAACCATGCTCTGATACCACAAGAATTGTTCATTATATTCCATATATTCATTATAAACCGAATTAGAATATTTTGAATATATTTAAGCATTATTTTAATAAATTATTGGTTATTTTGGTTCACTTCGGATTCATTTTCTTTGTCCAGCCCTAATTTAATCCATTTGGATATGGGTATTAACATTCTGTTGTATTGGGTTATTCATTTTAACATTTATAAGTACTAGTCAACCTTAATTTTTAATATCGATTATAGTCTTGTATTTAGTCAAATTTATAAGTGATAGTACATGGTTTATTTAAATGATTTTAGATGTCGATTACATATTCTGGTTTTGTATTATTCTGTCACAAATATTTGAAGTAAATATCAAAGTCAATCAATAATAACAGGTTTGATATTTGAATTTGATATTTACTTCTATAGTGACAGTGTAGACGTGCCACTAATAGCAGCTTCTAAAGCGATCATGCTGCTGGTATGTACAAACTCATCATAATGGGTGCTATAACATCTTTTTAAGTTATATGCTTCTCTCTCCATAAATTTGGTATAAATTTATTACTTTTGGTGTTAAGTTATGCCATATTTTCTAGTCAATTTCCTATTCAATCTTTACCATCTTTGCTATTTTCGTGGTGTCTTCTGGTTTTGACAAATTGTTACTTTTATCATTACATTTTTTGTGCCGTTAGTTGTTAAAACTGTTTTTTTTTTAATATCCCAAATTAATAATTTACAATTTTCCACATTTTTACTTATTTTTGCTTTTATTTTTCATATTTTTAATGATATTAATTTTATGCTTTGCTTTATTTTCGTTAATTTGAAAAAGGTTAGTGTAATTTTTAAATAAAAAAAATTCATAAGCGAATGGCCCATTTTAGTGTAATTTGTCAACTGTGATTCTATTATATATTCAACTTATATTGATAAATTTTTATTTTTGGATAAACAAACAGAGTCCAGACAAAGATATTATAGATTGCGTCCATATGAGAGATCAACCTACTTTTAACCATCCACTTCTCTAAAATTACAAAATTCTGGTAGTTTTAACTCCTCCTCTATTTATCCTATACTAGATAAATACCAATGTATACACGCGAGTTTGTTCTAAAAATAATTTGTATAAAGTTTTAGATTGTTGTATTTATTATATATGCAAAAAATTAGATTAGTCAAAGAAGAATAATTCAAATTGCATTTTAATATCTAATTTGGTTAATAATATTTACACAAAACTGTTCTTTTTAATAACTCCAAAATAGAATATATAAAACTAAGGGAATAATGAAGAAAACACTATCCTACATTGGTATATGTAGAAAATAAGAGTAAGATCCTAAACCAAAAACCTGAATGAATATCCAAAATATCCAGAATACAATTATATAATCAAAATACTAACTATAATTAGACTTAATAACTTGAAATTACAATTATAAATCAAAAATATAAGTTATTTTTATTCAAAATATGATGAAAAGACCCAAAATAATTTACATATACTAAAGTTTTTAGTTAGATTTGTTAAGTTATGCCAAATTTTATTTGAATTTAGCCAATTTTATTCAAATTTTTTTTTTATTTAATTTTTATTTTTTGGATATCCGAACATAAACCAAACCCAATCGAATATAACCGAATCCGAACCAAAATTCTAAAAATCTCGAACAGGTTTTAAATCTAAAAACCAAAATTCGAAAACCCAAATTATCCGAACGTTCGTGTTGGGTTCGGATAATTTGGGTTCTCGATGAATTGGGAGGTGAGTACCTCAGTAGTGAATCTGATGAAATTAATCATTGAGATCAGCAGATCTGCTTTAAGTGAACTTATATCGATCTCCCTCTGAGACATATTGAGTCTTTCTGTAATAGACTACACGAGCACAACCCACTAGGACAAAAAACGTGTTTGTTAATCCATAGATTAAGTTTTCTGACCAACGCGCAGAGGAAACATACTTTATTGATACATGAATTATAGGTTTAGGCTAATTATAGAGAAATTGAAACCATGATCCTGCTAATGCGCGTAAATATATTTGATTTGAAGAAACTTCATTTTGAAGATAAGTTTTAAACCTGAGCAATCCCGTAGCTCTTTTTTCTCTTTCACTTTTTTTGGTTTAAGCATTCCTTTAATGTTATGACATACTGATATTGTCTTAATAAGTTTCCTTCCCTCATAATTAAATCCTATACAAAGTAATGACGCGTACTAATGACGCGTTATAGTAAAAGCTTCATTGACGTGCATTCAAATGGAGGAAATATGGAACGTTTTTCTTTAGTTTTGTTTTTGGCATATTATAATAATGGTAAAAAAGGTAAACTAAATTGTATATTGTTTTTAATTGGATCTTCTAAAGTCTTATTTCCCATCATATAAGGAAAGAAATTTAAGTAGAAATGGAATACTTTTTTTTTGGGGGGACAAAATAGAAATGTGATATAATTTTACATTTTCGTTAACATAAGAAATTTCGAGAAAAAAAAAAAAACACAAGACTTATTCTTTGCTTTTGACTGAATTTGAGGTGCTTATAAAAAGCGAACCACTTCAGAGGTTACAATATCAGTCCATCACAAAATTTTCGGACACATCAAAATTCTCTTTTAAATCTAAATTTCTGCATTTGACGAAAAGGCCAAAGCCTTTTACTCGGAAAGCAAATAAGAAAGAGAGAGAGATAGAGAGAAAGATAGAGAGAAAGAAAGAAAAGAAAAGAAAATGGAGAATCTTAGGTCTTCTAAGACTTCATGTGATTAGAGGTGTGAATCTCGCCATTAGAGATTCATCAAGCAGCGATCCTTATGTCATTGTTCTGATGGGAAAACAAGTAAGTCCCAAACTTTCAATTTTTCATCAATTTAGCCTTCATTTCCGAGTTCTTAATTCAGTTTTTTGTTTTAAGTAATTGTTTAATGGGTCCGTATAATCTCTAGATACTCAAGGTTGTCTAGTTTTTTATATTGTCTGGTCATGAATCTGGTTATGCTTCTCTGAGATTCTTATGTATCTAATGAGAGAATGTTGGTTGTTGAACATCTTACTCAACCTTTTATGTGTTAAAATGAAACAGAACATACTTACAAATTTCAATTTTAGGTTTGATGCAACGCTAGTTTTAGGTATTTTACATGTCAAATGTAGTATAATGGATGCAAATGGTTGTGACTGAGGAATTAGAGGAATAAAAATAAGTAGAAAAGCGTTAAGTAGAATAATAATGATACAAAGAGTTTTGTTCCACTCATTTCTTTTGAAATTAGTAAAGGAACAAATTTTGAAAGTTTTGTTAACGAATTCCAGCAGAATTAGTGGAATTTTTTACTATCTTCGCTTCAAATGGTAATATTTTAGAGAAATGTCAAATTCCATCATTTTTTATTCTTCTAGTTGTACAACCATTTGCACCTGTAAAGTTCATAAGACTTATTTATCATTCAAAATAGTAGTAATGGTTTCTGACATTGTCTCAACCATATAACAAGGTTTTATTTTATTTTGTTCGCGTATAAATTTACACCTGAATCTTTTGGTGTTATGTTTTTCTTCTTTGACGCAGAAGCTACGAACCCGTGTAATGAAAAAGAATTTGAATCCAGAATGGAACGAAGACTTGACACTTTCTATTACTGATCCAATTCTTCCTATTAAGATCGTAAGTGATTCCTTACATTACAACAACTTGTTCTTTCTCGGTAAAATTGAAACAGATTAGAACATAACAAGAAAATGTGTATTTTTGTTGTTGTGATGATACAGATGGTTTACGATAGGGACTGGTTCTCAAGGGATGATAAGATGGGAGATGCGTTTTTTCACATTGATCCGTTCCTTGAAGCAATCAGAATCCAAAACCAGCTTGGAGGACTCCCCGATGGGACCGTAATAATGAAGATACAAGCCAGTAGGCAGAACTGTCTATCAGAAGAGAGCAAGATTGTGTGGCACAAAGGAAAGGTTGTTCAGAATATGTTCCTTAAGCTCCAGAACGTTGAGCGCGGTGAGGTCGAGCTTCAGCTTGAGTGGATTGATGTCTCAGGCCTTCTGAGTATAAAGGAGAATGAGGATGTCGCTTACTAGATTACAGGCTCCGCTATGCTATGTTTAAAAAAAAAAAAGTATATTAGCTATGAGGAAGAAAAAAAAGAAAAGAATCTTTCCAAATGGCTAATTTCTACAACTTTTGAGTTGAGTAAGAATCTTAGAATTAGATCATGCTACATTACTACAATCTGGTTTAGTCAAGAAATATATGTCGATAGAAAAGTCCTTAACAATTAATTAGTAGTTTAATTTTGTTTTTGTTTGAATAAAAATGTTAATTAAGTTTAATTACACGGCCACACGGGTATATTTATATCATCCTATTAAAGCAACGAATAATAAATGTCAAAATACTTATTTTATGCCATTAATGTTACAAATTTGTTCGCGTCAAGACATCTCTGCCCAGAGAACTTTGAACTAAGACAAGCATAGTAATAAGAAAAGTTTTTTTACCTGCAGCGAACTCTCAATAGAACAAGTTAAATACTCCTTCTGTTTCCATATGATATATTATGATGTTTTGAGACTTTTTTGTTTCAAAATATTAGATTTTTCACATTTCTATGTTGCTTTAAATTTATTAAATATTGTGTGACCAATTATATTATATATATTTTATTTAAAATAGTCAAAGTGTATTTAATTCATACAGTAAATGATATTTTTTTGAAGAAAAATAGATTTCTTAATTCTTGTATTTTTGCTATAACATCTAATATATTGAAACAAAGGAAGTATATTTTAATATTTATCTAGAAATTAACTATGATTTCTACTCTTAAACAAACACCATAGACTCCATACCACGATAGTCGTTCTTAGAAATGAATGCTCAAACCCTATTATATTAAGCAAAATATATAGTCTTTCTCAGAAATGTGTTGAATAAATGTTTGAGCAAAATAATAAGTTCGTTTCATGAAACTACGGGTTCATGGATGGAAAATCAATTGAACCAATCACTGAAATATCTAGGAAATGACATGAGTAGACGAACCGAATCTTACAATAAAATAACAAATATATTAAAAGAAGTAAATGAAATTGAATACAAACGTTTTGACTAAAATATTAAATTTACAATGAATAAATTAACGACGCTTGGAATCTCTCGAGTCATCGTTTAGTATAAATTGAAAACTAATAAGTTGTTAAGATTCATCCTCTACCTTTGACAACTCGAGCATTTTCCAGTGTTTTCTCCAATTTCTTTATTTTCCTATTCCGTTTCACGGTTTTTGCTTGTCATTTTTTTTTATTTTATTTTGTGTCACTCAGACAAAACTCTACCATCTGGTCTGTTCGCTCACGATTTCAGAAGTTATGGACAGGATCAGTGGGCTACCTGATGAATTATTAGTGAAGGTATTACTGTTTCTTCCAACAAAAGTTGCAGTATCCACTAGCATTTTGTCGAAACGATGGGAGCGTGTTTGGATGTGGTTGCCAAAAATTAAGTTCACAGACAGAGATTATTCAGAGTCTGAGTGCAATAGGTTACGGTGTTTTCTTGACAGGAATCTACCCTTACATAAAGCTCTCGTTATAGAGACCTTGCGGCTCAAGTTTAGTAAATTACATTGTAAACCTGAAGATATCAAACTGTGGGTTGTAATTGCAGTTTCTCTATACTTACGTAAGTTGGATCTTTCCTATTCGTCTTATCTGGATAATGATAAGCTGCTGCCGAGTAGCTTGTTTACTTGCAGATCGCTCGTGATCTTGAAAATTAAAGGCAAGATTCTCTTGGATGTTCCTCGAATGGCTTGTCTTCCTTCTCTGGAAACTTTGCAACTTCATCGTGTGATATACTTCAATGAAGCATCTCTTCAACGGCTTCTATCTAGTTGCCCTGTTCTTAAAGCTTTATTGGTGAATTTTTGTGGTTCTGGCACCATGAGAAAGTTCACCGTTATTGTCCCGTCTTTACAGATTTTATCACTATATATACCTGACGATGGTGCTTTTGATGGGTTTGTAATAGAAACTCCTCAACTGAAATATTTCAAACTTTAAGGATTATAATGGAGAGAGTCACTACTGTTTGATTGAGAATATGCCTAAGCTGAGAGAGGCAGATGTTGATGTTGTGTTCCCTAATATCAAGAGTCTTATCGAATCAATAACATCTATCAAGCGTATTACAATTTGTTCTTTCAAGGTAATCAATTTCCATTTATCAACTCATTCATATTTTATTTACTAATACTTTAATATTATGTACAGGCTGTCTACGGCGAGGGTTTAGTCTTCAACCAGCTTCAACATCTGAAGATATGTCTATGCAGTAACTATTCAGGGAATCTCATTGTCCGGTTTCTCAAACATTCTCCTAACTTACGAGTCCTAGATCTCTTCATAATGGGAGGTGTAAGTTTCGCTGACAAAACTATTTTTATTGTTCTAATGCTCTGTGCATGTTATAAGTTTAATCTTTTTTTTTTCTGCTTGATCTTAGGATCATCAACCTACTGATATGTTTTCCTGGGATCAACCAAGTAATGTTCCTGAATGTGTGTTGTCAAGTCTACAAATTTTCAATTGGTCGGGTTACAAAGGAGAACCAAAAGAGAGAGATCTTGCAGTATATATCTTGAAAAACGCTTGTCGTTTAATGACTTTCACAATCTCGCAGTTGAAAATGATGTTCCAAAACTTGAGATGCTCAAGGAATTGGCTCTATCTTCCAGAGCATCGACAATGTGCCAAATTGCATTTGTTTAAGTTCCCAACAATAAGATTATGAGCTTGTTATTCGTTTCCCCTATGTGCTCTGGTCGTTTGGTTTGTATTTGATCTTTGAAACTTGCTTTCGACAAATTTTTTTTTTTTCTATTTGTTGTCAAGAAGAACCAGATTATTTTATCTGAGGCTAAGTTATACTATGATAAGTTTTAATATTTTGTGAGGCATATACACCTATATAAAGACATATATATATATATATATATATATTATGGAGATGCCTTGTGAAAAGAGAACTTGCTTTGTTTAGGAAGATAGATCTCCTCGTGCTCAAAGATGTATTAAGCTCGTCTTTTAACATTTCCCAGTGAAGAAATTGAACATGATCTTAATTAAAAAAAAGAGAAATTTAATGAGCTAATTATTTTGGTTTTGAAAGAATAATAATAAAAGACTATTAAATCAAATGTTAGATGGTATAGTTTGAACAAATAGTAATCCTAATAACTTAGTTTCATGAATCTACTGGTTTATGGATAGGAAATCAATTGAACCAACCACTGAAATGTCTAGGAAATAACATGAGTAGATGAACCGAATCTTCTTGATTCTTTTGACTTCTCAATAATTATTACAAGAACTGAATACAAAACGATTTGACCAAAATATTAAATTTACAATAAATAAATTAACGACGCTTGAATTCTCTTGAATCATCATCGTTTAGTATAAATGACAATAGTAAGTAGTAAAGATTCATCCTCTACCTTTGATAAATCGATCATTTCCTAGTGTCTTCTCCGGTTTCTATGTTTTATTATTTTCCTATTCTGTTTCTCCTTTTGTTCCTTATCATTTTTATTTTGGGTCGCTCAGACAAACGGTCTGATGAATTGTTAGTGAAGATATTATTGTTTCTTCCAACAAAAGTTGCTGTAACCACTAGCATTTAATCCAAACGATGGGAGCGTCTTTGGATGTCGCTGCCAATACTTGAGTTCGATGCTAAATCTGATCCGAAGTCTGAGTGCTATTGAAGTTAAACTTTATTTTGGATCAATCTTAATTTAGGCTTATGATAGAGAATTCTAGAGATTTTCTAGAAACATTTTAAAAGGTTGATCACCTCCTTATACTGTTATAGAAAAACCTATAAGTTAAATATCTAGATAATATTATAGAAATATTTAGATGATTGTAATTAAGATGGCCTCTAAAAAAGTATCTAGAACTAGATGTCTTTGGAGGCTATAAATAGCTTCTCACCTTCTCATTTGTATGCATATAAGAAAAGTTGAACAAATTAATAAAGCAAGTTTTTTAAGAGTTTTCCTCTTCATAAGTTCTCTAAATCTCTCCAAAAGTTTTTCAAGTGTTTTCTAAGTGTTCTTCCATATTTTTCTTTAGAAGGTTTTTTTTTTTTTTGAGTTTCTTGGGTATTACGATCTTGGACTAGTGCTAAGCACTATCAGTGTTATTTTTCTTTACATGGTATCAAAGCCATTCTAATTTTACGCTCTTTAAAATCGGGGTTTAAAGAGCGCTCGGGTATACTCTAAGTATGAAATCTATGAGTCGTGTCGTTGGATTGGGAATGGAGATCTTCAACCAATCTAACTACCAGTTATGGATGTCATGTATGGAGTCATACTTGGTTAGTGAGGACTTATGAGATGTCGTCAGCGGTAGCAGCACAACACCAGCAAGGGGAGATGCTGCAACAGCGGAAGTGACAAAGGAGTGGTGATATATCATGTTTTTTATGGTTTTTGATCATGGTATAAGTCTTATTTATAGAGTCTTTTTAGTGTTTCTCGAATCTTTTGGAATCTTTTCAGGTCATAGGTACGTTTGGAGCTTAATTGGTGATTTTTGAGTACTTTGGAGCTAAACAAGGATCAAATTTGTGAAGGATGGATCATGTGCTTTAGTGTCGCTCGACACCATGGATAATGACGCTCGACACCGATCGAAAAAATAAGAAAACGCGATTTTGTCTCCTATTTGGAGAAGGAATTGGGCCCAGAAGTTTCCAAATATTCCCTAAGAAGCCCTAAACGTGTTTTTAAGTTATAAATAGGGTTTTTAGCCACCTTATATCGATACTTTAGATTTTCTTAGAGAGAACTTTTGTTTTTGAGAGCTTTAGGGGAGACAAGTCTGAAACTCCGTTCCGGAGAGAGAAGATTTCGAACCCCTGTTTATTAATCTATTTACTGCTTTCTGCAATCTATTCATTGATGTTTATTGCTTCAATCTTCATGTCTGAGTAGTTTGCTTGTTAGGTTTAGGGTTCTCATAAAAGATTTCTTTGGATGTTAGATTAATTGATTAAGTTAGGATTCATAATCTATTTAGTTCTTCACCATAGGTTGTTCTTAAAGCTAATTCTAGACTGGCCACCTAGAACTTAGATCTTAGGTTAATTGATTGTCACGGAAGTGTAATTGAATAACTGGAAAGAACCTAGGATGAGCAAAGTAGCTATTCGCAAAAGAATTTGGGTTAGATACTTTGTGAACATATCGAACTTGAGCATTAAAGCTGGTTTATGTCTTTAGGATTTTCAAAGGAATTTGGAATTCTGAGATTTAAACTTAGATAATTCTCGCAACGGAAGTTGGTTAATTATAATTTCGTGATTTGAGTACAAGAACCGTGCTTAACCCTGAACCCTGATTTACCGATTAATCTGCATTCTCTGATTTCCTGAGAAACACCCTGGACCTAACCTTTTTCCCATCGAGTTTACAATTGTTTTGCTTTCATTGTTGCTTTTAATTTCATTGTGTTTGCTTAGCGTAATTCAAGCCTAGATAGTTTATTGTGCGAATCTCTCGTCTCTGTGGTTCGACCCCTTGAATACTACAACTGCACATCTGTGCTCTTGCAGAGTAGCTTAGGGATTAAACTTTGAGCAGATCAAGTTTTGGCGCCGTTGCCGGGGACTTGATTTTCGCCATTAGACTTTAGTTCTTGAGTTTTGACTAAGTTTTTTTTTAGTGTCGAGCGACACCCCTAGTGGTGTCGCGCGACACCAGTCGTTTTTGTTTAATTTTATTTTTTACTTTGTTACTTACATTGCTCTTTATCTTTATCTCAGAAACCAGCAGAGATGGAGAACGCATTGGCATTAGTTCGTGATGATGCTGGAGTCTGGAGAGACCAAAAGGGTCATGTGTGCAATGAGAAAGGCCAGCGACTTGATGGAGAAGGTAACATCATCAGGACACTGGGTGATTATAACAGGCCTGAGCAGTTCTATGCAATCGGTCTGCGATTCGCGCCCCTGCGTTTCAAATGAACGATTTTGAGCTGAAACTTGTGTACTATAGTCTTGTGGGTCAGCATCCCTTTCATGGTCACTCTCACGAGCACCCTATGGATCATATCGAGAGGTTTGAGGACTTGGTCACCAGCATCAAATACAATGGAATGTCCAATGATTTCCTCTTCTGCAAGCTGTTTCCATACTCTCTTGCTGGAGAAGCAGCTAACTGGTTGAAGCAGTTGGAGCCTGGTTCATTGACTACTTGGGAAGAGACCAGGAACGCTTTCCTACATAATTTTTACGATGATGCCAGGTCTGAGGAACTGAGACTCAAAATCTCAACGTTTTCTCAGGGACCAACTGAGGTGTTCAAAGCTGCTTGGGTGAGATTCAAGTCGTACCAGCGAGATTGTCCACATCATGGTTTCAGTGATGTTCAGCTGCTGGGTATTTTCTTCAGAGGTGTTGATTGGAGGTATCAGATGGCTCTTGATGCTGCAAGCAATGGGAATTTCAACACCAGATATCCTGAAGACGCAGTCGTGCTTATTGAGAACTTGGCATCTAGCAAAAGTACCAAGAATGCAGACTATCAGCGAAAGAAGCAGGGTGGAAACATGGATGGATCGCAGATTGCTGAGGTGAAGGCTAAGCTTGACTCTGTGCATAGCCTTCTAGTGGGTATGAAGTCCATCTGATACGCTGCAGGGGTTAAGAATTTCGAACTAGATGAAGCACTTAAGGAAGAGGATGTTAACTTCATCAATGGAGCTGGATTTCAGGGTCAGAGATTTGGTACTCAGCCAGGAAACATGAATTACAGTGGAAATAATCAAAGGAGTAGCTTCACAGGTAATCAGAACTCTTCTGGTTATAACTCCAATCCTCAGTACCAGACATCCTACTCCAACAACAGTTTTTCAAGGAACTATGGAAGTCTATGCTGGAACAGATCTTGGAAGGTCAGCAGAAGATGACTGTGGATTTCAATGGGAAGATTGATGCTCTGTATCTGGATCTGAATGGAAAAATTGAAGTTCTAAACACTCATGTCAAGAAGCTTGATACTCAGGTTGCTCAGACTATAGAGTCTGTAAAAAGGCAAGAATGATTCTTTCCTGGGGAGACTGATTCCAATCCTAGGCATTACTGCAGTGCCATCTTATAAAGAATGGTAAAAAGTTGACTCATGTGCTTAAAAATGATGTTTCTGAGGATGAAATCGTGGAGTTGGACGAATCTGAAGAAAATTTCGAAGTTGCAGAGCCGGTGTCGAGCGACACCACAACTAGTGTAGCGCGACACCAATTGCAGAGCGAAGCCGATATTGCTCAAAGTCCGAAATCAGCAGAGGAAAGGGTCTACAAACCTAAGATTCCTTACCCAAGGAGTCCTAAGAAGTCTAAGCAGGAGCTAGACAATGCAAGATGCAAGGCTTTGATGGAGAAGCTTGTGATTGAGATTCTTTTGGTTGATGATGTGAAGATTGCTCCTACTCTCAGACACTATGTGAAGAGAATGGTGACTAATAATCTGAGTCATGAGGAAGGAGTGATGATGATTTCTGAATCGGTCAGTGCTGTGATTCAGAATAAGATTCCAGAGAAACTCTTGGACCCAGGAAGCTTTGTTTTGGACTGCTCTATCTTCTCAGAGAGGTTCAAGAGATCGCTGTGTGATCTTGGTTCAAAGTGTCAACCTAATGCCACACTCTGTAGCTGTTAGTCTTGGGATGACTGATTTCCAACCAACTAAAATCTCCCTAATC